GAGTGTGTGTTAAGGGGGAGGCCACCCTTAACGTGCAATACAAGAGTTTTGAAGGTCCACTAGACTTATTAGTAGTAGGGGGTGAACGAACGAGTCTCATAGGACTCGATTGGTTTGAGGCCCTGGGGATACACGTCACAGGACTCAATAGCTTACAAACACTCGACCTACAGGAAGTCTGCAAAGAATTTGCAGATGTTTTCAGCCCCCAGCTGGGCACATTCAAAGGACCACCTGTGTCCTTAAAGCTAGACCCCACTGTCACTCCCATTAGGATTAAAGCAAGAAGGGTCCCTTTTGCTTTAAAAAGTAAGATTGACACTGAATTAGACAAACTAATCCAACAGGGAATCCTAGAACCTGTTGATTCCAGCCCGTGGGAGACCCCCATTGTCACGCCTCTAAAGGCAAATGGGGACATTCGCATTTGTGCTGATTACAAATGCACACTCAATAAGGCATTGCAGCAACATGCCTATCCTGTTCCTGTGGTCAGTCACATCTGGCCTCTCTCAAGGGGGGGCGTGTTTTTGCAAAGCTTGACCTAGCTCAAGCATATCAACAGCTGCCTGTTGATGATGATGCTGCCATAGCTCAGACCATTGTGACCCACAGGGGAGCCTTTAAAGGTAAAAAGGCTACAGTTTGGAGTAAATGTCGCTCCTGGGATTTTCCAAAGCGTAATGGAAAACACACTACGAGGTATACCAGGGGTCTGCCCCTACTTTGACGATGTCTTGATTGCAGGAGACTCCACACACATTCTAGCTGAAAGGCTTAGGGCTGTCCTGTTAAGATTCAGGAAATCAGGCCTCAAGCTCAGAAAAGACAAATGCAGATTGGGGTGCCTTCTACTGAATTTCTGGGATTCAAAATTGATGCTGCTGGGATTCATCCTGCTGAATCCAAACTAACTGCTATTTTAGATGCACCCAGGCCAAAGTCTAAGGCCGAACTTCAGGCCTTCTAGGCCTCCTGAATTTCTACAATTCTTTTCTTCCACATAAAGCTAGTGTAGCTGAGCCTCTTCACAGGCTACTAGACAAACAGGCTGTGTGGCTGTGGTCACAAGCGCATGAGGCTTGCTTTAAAGAAGTCAAGGCCTTGCTCACTTCTAACAGTGTTCTTGCACATTTCAACGAGTCTCTCCCTGTGTGCATCGCTTGTGATGCGTCCCCCTACGGGGTTGGAGCTGTCCTGAGTCACCTCAGGTCTGATGGAACTCAGGTTCCTATTGCATACTACTCCAGAACACTGTCTTCTGCTGAGCGCAACTACGCTCAGATAGACAGGGAGGCTCTGGCTGTTGTTGCTGGAATTAAAAAATTCCACGATTTTTTATATGGCAGGCATTTCACGGTCTTCACTGACCATAAGCCTCTGCTGGGACTGTTTACCACACGTAAGCAGACTCCCCAAATCATTTCCCCTAGAATGCTTAGGTGGTCTATTTTTTGTCTGCATATGATTTTTCATTACTCCACAAGCCTGGAAAGAAATGGGCCATGCTGATGGCCTCAGTAGATTGCCTCTGCCAGTAGTAGAAGCTGACCCCGCGCCAGCTGTCAACATTCTATCAATCCAAGCCTTGCCCGAGCTCCCTCTTAGTGCCAGGGATGTTACCGCTGAAACAGGTACAGATCACACACTTTCACGTGTCCGCTCCTGGGTCCTGTCCGGGTGGCCTGAGCACTGCCCTAGTCCTGAGTTTCAGAGTTTCTGGTCCAAAAGAAACGAACTGTCCCTTTCTCAGGGTTGTCTGCTTTGGGGAAACAGAGTTGTCATTCCCACCTCAATGAGGACTAGGGTCTTAGAATCCCTCCACGAGGGTCATCCTGGCATTGTTCGTATGAAGGCTCTTGCACGCAGCCACTTGTGGTGGCCTGCTTTAGATAAAGATATTGAGGCTAAGGTACACGCATGCCACCTGTGCCAACGATCTCGCCCAGAGATGCCCCAAGCTCCTGTGCATAGATGGGAGGAGACACAGTCCCCATGGTCTAGGGTGCACATTGACTACGCTGGGCCCTTTCAGGGCCAGTTCTTCTTGGTCCTTGTTGACAGCCATTCAAAATGGCTTGAGGTTGTGCCTGTCTCATCCACCACCACTGCAAAGACTATTCAGGTACTGAGGGGGATTTTTGCTGCACACGGGCTGCCAGATGTCATGTGTCCGACAACGGCCCTCAATTCACCTCCTCCGAATTCCAAGCTTTCTTACAGGCAAACCTGATTCGTCATGCCACGTCTGCGCCCTTTCACCCGTCCACCAACGGTATGGCTGAACGCATGGTGCGCATCGCAAAGGACGCCTTGAAGAGACTCACCTACGGGGACTGGCATCACAGGTTGGCTGACTTTCTCCTTTCTTATCGCACCACACCGTCCACTTCTACAGGGAGAAGTCCAGCTGAACTTCGTTGGGGGCGCCAACTTACTACTAGACTTGACCGGTTGCATCCGGACAGACTGCCTTCATCTACCTCACATCCTAGGGCACCTAGACAACTACTTGTGGGTGCCCCGGTTTGGGCTCGCAATTACGGGCCTGGTCATACATGGGTCCCCGCTTCTGTGTCCAGGATCACAGGTCCTCTCTCCTACGAGGTTGCCCTGGACAACGGTCGTGTCCTGCGTCGGCACATCGACCAACTTCGCTCTAGGCGAGACTTTTCTGCTGAGACTCCTGGGTCTTTTCCAGGGGGGGAGGGGGACCCTTTGGAGCAAAGGGAAGGGCAAGAGCTACTGCCCATCTCCACTGAGGGAGCCACAAACGGCTCGTCCCAGGTTCTGCAATTGCTCCGAAAAGAAAGTCATGGAGCTTACCCACACAACAGGCACTCACGCCTACTCCAGCCAGGGAGTCACCCCGGGGGCATACTCACTTTCCACACACATCACACAGCACTCCAGCAACGGAGGATACCCGGGGGCATCCCAACAAATCATTCCCCGCAAGAGAACTGGCACACAATTCCCAAGGTTGGCCTGACCTTACCCCAAATCCTACAGGGGGTCAAACATACACAGAGTTAGTCGAGGAACCAAGTCCCGACTACAACAACCCTAGCACAAATCAGGGAACACCTGAGTTTTGGGAAAGTACAGAAACCCACACGAGCCCGAACACAGAATGGGGTTCAGGGAATGGACAGCCTCCTGACAGGTCTTGGACTGACCTAGGAGGTTCTACAGAGACGCCCAGCAGCGGCTATCACTTCAAGGGGCCTGAGGGTCTACAGCTAGGTAGGTCAACCAGGTCACAAAGTAACAGAAGCCCTGGCCTGACGAGCCCGGTGGGCAAGCAAGCAGGCCAGGCATCGGGGCACAGTCCTTGGAAGACACCAGGACACAATAGAGAGAACAGGCTCACGCCTCCCTCCAGTCAGGGGACTTATGCCAGTAACCCAGAGCTAAGAAGGTCACAGAGAGCAAAGAAATCTCCTAAGTATCTAGAAGATTACATAACATTGCTGGCAAGGCAAAAGCCAGTAATCAGTGGGAGCACTGGGGAGCAAAATGTCATATAAAATAAATGTTGTATGTTGGTAGTAGTTTTAGCCCGGGGGAAAGGGGTGTTATGTCCCGAGCCTTGCAAACGGCTCGGGCGTTTGCAGGCAGTCCCGGGCAGGTGCAAAGCTGCCCGGGACCAGACAGGCTGTCGCCAGCGCCGTGCGCATGCGCGGGTGCTGGCGCGGGAAAAGTAACCCATTTACCCGGGAGTTGCCTATATAAGAGGCTGCGAGGCGTTTGGGCGAGGCTGAAGCCATCTTCATGTAAGCTGAATGCTGAATAAATGAAACTGAGAACTCCAGCTGCTTCTCGTGTCTGTTTTCCCGCCACGGACTCAACAGTCTTAATCATGCTTAGCCAAAGCATTTGAAAAGACCTTCCCCAATCTGGTGAAGGATGTGATATGAATGCAGCCGTCGATTTAAGAAAAAGACTCAAATTCACTCTCACGTTAAGCTCTAATATGGTGGTTTACTTTGGGCTTTCTTTATTACAGGTGTGCAATCCTGGGTGTGCAACCCTGGTTGTGCCAGGTATGGAGGCCATGTATGCTGTATTTTGAATTTGCAGAAATGCCATAATTTATGTATCTGCTTCACACATCAGAAACACAATAGCGGCATTTGCTTCAGGATGTCACCTTGTAGAGGTGAATCTGTTCCTTATCTTCAGTCTGTATGAGGCTCAGCGTGATATGTGACTCTAGTCACTGTGGACTATAAGCCAATTTATGACCACAACTGAGTTCAAAACTTCTGTTGAGTGAGACAACTGTTAAGTGAATTTTGCCCCATTTTAGGACCTTTCTTGCTCCAGTTGTTAAGTGAATCACTGCAATTGTTAATTTAGTAACACGATTGTTAAGTGAATCTTTCTTCTCCATTGATTTTACTTGTCAGAAGGTCACAAAAGGGGATCACCTGACCCCGGGACCCTGCAACCGTCATAAATATGGACTGATTGCCAAACGGCTGAATTTTGATCATGTGACCACGGGGGTGCTGTAACGGTCATAAGTGAGAAAGATGATCATAAGCCACTTTTTTCAGTGCCATTGTAACTTTGAACGGTCACTAAATGAATTGTTGTAAATTGAGGATTACCTGTAGCTTGTTGAATCTGATGAATAGGTGGCATAAAGAATTTGCCATAAAGAAATAATAAACTGGTGTAAATAAATAGTAAAACACATTTTGCTTATCTGTAATTTGCAGAGTAAAGCACCATCAGTTGGGTTCACGCAGACTTCTACATTCCTATAGTTTATAAATTACATTGGCTGGAGATTCAAATAACATGCTAAGCTTGAATGAAACTAGCCATATGAAGCCAACATGAGGTAGCAATGAAAGTGCTGGGCACACAAGATCAGCCTTGAAAAATATAAAGGCATAATGTGATGCATGAATCCAAGCTAATTCCCTAAAAAGTCATTGGGATTTAAAATGCTACAAAACCTTTCTCTCTCCTTCCATTACTACTTGCAGAAAGAAATGGTCTATTATATCAGCGTGACTGAAGCTTCTTTGACAGTTCTCTCACAAGGTAGGTATTACGGTGTCTACATTCAGATGATTGCTAAAGAGGCATCCATCTCTCCCTGAGATACTGGCACAACTAAATGCTGGGTTACAAATAGAACATGGAATCAGAGGACTGGAAGGGACCTCGTTCTCACTATCAGAAAATTTCTCCTAACTTCTCTATTGGATTTCTCTTTAACAAGCTTCCACCCGTTATTTCTTTTCTTGCTCTCTGGTGCTTTGAAGAATAAGTCAATCCCTTCTTCTCTGTGACAGCCCCGCAAGTACTGGAAGGCAGCTATCATGCCCCCCCCCCCATCTTTGATAGATTAGACCAGTGTTTCTCAACCTTGACAATTTTAAGGCATGTGGACTTCAACTCCCAGAATTCCACAGCCAGCAATGCTGGCTGTGGAATTCTGGGAGTTGAAGTCCACATGCCTTAAAATTGTCAAGGTTGAGAAACACTGGGTTAGACATACCTAACTGTCCTCAACCCTTCATCATATGATTTAGCCTCTAGCGTCTAGACCCTTCATCATCTTGGTTGCTTTTCTCTGCACATTTTCTAGAGTCTTAGCATCTCTTGTATCGTGGTGACCAGAACTGAAGCAGAAAGGCTCTAAAGAACTAAACTCTAGAGACAACTAGCTGATCTTTTCAGATTAACCCAAATCCAGCAACTTCAAAACATATCTCTTCCCCTAGTCCACAGTCCACCTCTGCAAGGAAGTTGAGGGTTTGGTGAACTGGTGTAAGGAAAACAGCCTAGTTTTAAATACTGCAAAAACCAAAGAGAGCATTGTCAATTTCAGAAAAGGCAGGCACAGCTACACTTCTCTGTTCATTAATGATTCACCTGTGGAGATGGTTACCTGCATCCAATTCCTGAGTGTGCAGTTAACATGTAGGCTAGCTTGGTCACTCTACAGTGAGACACTGGTGAAGCGGGCACAGCAGCGCCTGCATTTTCTGCATTGCGTGAGAAAAGCACATCTTCCTTCCTCTGTCCTGACCACTTTCTACAGAGGGACGATCGAGAGCATCCTGTCATACAGCATCACCATCTGGTTTAGAAGCATCCCTGCTTCAGACAGGAAGGCAGTGCAGAGAGTGGTGAGGATGGCAGAAAGGATCATTGGCAATTTCCTCCCTCCCATCCAGGACATAGAACAGAAGCGTTGCTTGAGCAGGGTCCATAAGATTGTCTGGGACGCTACACATCCTCCTCATGACTTGTTTTCCTTGTTACCTTCTGGGAGGAGGGGGCTCCGTGATATCCGAAGCAGAACATCCAGATTCAGTCACAGTTTTGTTCCATACAGTATTAACCTTGTGAACTCTCAAGCTTCCTCCTTCCGCTATGTATTCAAGTTGGACAGTGATTAGTATTTATACGTTGCTTATATGTAAGGGTATAGATCAGTGGTTCTCAACCTGTGGGTCGGGACCCCATTTGGGGTCGAATGACCATTTCACGGGGGTCGCCAAACCACGTGGTCCGCCATTTTTTTCCCCTTTTCCCTAGCTGTCCTACTCCCTCTTATTGGTGGCCACACCCACTTGGGGGTCACCAAAACATGGGGAACTATATTATGGGGTCATGGCATTAGAAAGGTTGAGAACCACTGGTGTAGATCTATACCAGTGGTGGCGAACCTATGGCACGGGTGCCAGAGGCGGCACTCAGAGCCCTCTCTGTGGGCACGCGCACCGTCGCCCCAGTCCTAGGCCTTCAGCTGGGTTTTATAAAACCTTTTTGCTTTAGGCCTCCGCTGCTGTGTGCAATCAATCAATCAATCAATTTCAACTTCTCGCGGGGGAAAGAAAAGATCTTGCAAAGTTGGAATTGATTGATTGAACCTTTTAGTCCCACCCAGTCTGCCGTTACCACTGCAGCCACACCCAGCCAATGGGCCACACCCACCCGGCACTTGACAATGCATAAGTGGGTTTTGGGTTGCAGTTTGGGCACTCGGTCTCTAAAAGGTTCGCTATCACTGGTCTATACATATGTTGTATATAGTATGTTTAAATGTGTGTTATGTATGTGTACACTTTGAGAGCAAGCAACTAAATTTCATTTTTAATGTGTGCCACTGTGCCCACAGTAAAAAAATGACAAAGGTTATTTATCTATCTATTAGCGGGGATTGTTTTTCTCACTGGCATGAAACACTTTTATGGAACTTTTTTAGGAATTCCACTAATTTATCCTGCATTAAAGCTGTAAGGATATTACCCTCAATACTAAAGCAGAACAGAGTTCAGGCATTGAGATCCCTCCCTGTTGATACCAGCTCAAGATCTGGAAGACTGCAGATTAACTTAGCCTGGAACCATAGCCAAACCAACTGTATCTTAGAATCACCCAATGTTTCTCAGCCTTGACCACTTTTAAGATGTGTGGACTTCAACCTTCATGCTGGCAGGGGAATTCTGGGAGTTGAAGTCCACATATCCTAAAGTGGCCACGGTTGAGAAACATTGGCCTAGTCCAGGAGTCTCCAAAGTTGGCAACTTTAAGAGTTGTGGACTTCAACTCCCAGAATCCCCCATGCTGGCTGGGTAATTCTGAGAGTTGAAGTCCACAAGTCTTAAAATTGCCAACTCTGGAGACCCCTGGATTAGTCTATCATATCAGAAGTCCCCAACCTTTTGGGCACCAGGGGCCAGTTCCGTGGATAAAGGTTTTTCCACGGACTGGAGAGTGCCTGGTTTTGTGTGCTGCCTGCATCCCACAGATGGGGCTTTGCTTGTTTGTGCCAACCGGTTGCTGGCATGCCACGGCCCAGTACAGGTCCACGGATCGGGGGTTGGGAACCCCTGTATTATATGACTCCAACCAGGACATCTAAAGCACAGCTCAGTGTTGGGCAAAAAACAGGGCATTAGTTTTAGGGTTTAGTATTACACAGACCCAGAGATATCCCAGAGAGAAAATTAGCCACAAAAATCAGCAATGATGTGTCTTTCTCTGCAAATTTCAGGTTTTGTGTACAACGGAATTAAAAACGAGCAGCTCTTTTCCACAGCTGTGGGAAACTCCTTCAAATGTCTCAGTAAGCAAACGGTGAGCTTGGCCAGCAACTTTCAACTGCAGGTTGCCAATTCCCAGCTTCAAGCTTTTGATATCGTAAACAACCAATTTGGAAAAGGTTAGTAAATTCAACCCTGGGGGGGGGGGTCCTATGAGTAAGAGTTTTCCTGCTGAGGGTACAAAGAGACATTTTCACACCATAGGTCTTGGGCTAGATGCCAAGCGATGAAGATTTCACCGATTCTCTCTCAGTGTGCTGCATTTAATCCAAGCCAATTGATATGCATGCATATAAATATGTGCATAGGACTCCTGCCTTTAATAAATTCCCCAGTAGCCCCCCCCAAAGAACAAATGCTTTTATAATTTTCAGATGTACTGACTACCAGGAGGCAGCACACGACCAATTTCAATCTTATTGGGATTGTCAAGACATTCATAGCATTATTTATTCATTATTTTTATCATGCCTTTATGGTTTATATAAATAACTGAAGGGAACATATCCAACACACCTTCCTCCTCCTATTTTCATCACAACAACAACCTTGGGAGGCGGGTTGGGCTAAGAGAGAGTGACTGGCTGAAAGTCACCCAACCAGCATTCATCCCTAAGGTGGAACTCATGGTCTACTGCAGGGGTCTTCAAACTTGGCCCTTTTATGACTTGTGGACTTCAACTCCCAGAATTCCTCAGCCAGCATGCCTGGCTGGCTGAGGAATTCTGGGAGTTGAAGTCCACAAGTCATAAAAGGGCCAAGTTTGAAGACCTCTGGTGTACTGGCTTTCTAGTTTGGTGCCTTAACCACTAAACCAAACTGCCTCTTTAAAGATTTCCCATAGTTCAGATGATTTCAACTCATACAAAGATAACTTTTACATAGGGTGCTCACAAGGTCTGGGATAATTCTCTATAGCTTTATTTGACTATGATGAAAATCACCGTGGAATCATATGATGCTTCTTTATTGAAGTCTAATGTTCTTTTTTTCCAAATTGCAGAAGAGGAGTGCACTTTGGATAGAAACAAGAGGCTGATCCCAGCAACAATTGGCTTCAGTCTGTCGGGATTAATCATCATCATCCTGTTCTCCTGTGTGCTTTATAGAAGGAATACTCACTCTGGATACAGCCGTATCTGAATCCCGAAGTTTATTTATGAATGGGTATAGAGCAGGGGCCTTCCAACTTGGCCCTTTTATGACTTGTGGACTTCAACTCCCAGAATTCCTCAGCCAGCCAGGCTGGCTGAGGAATTCTGGGAGTTGAAGTCCACAAGTCATAAAAGGCCCAAGTTGGAAGACCCCTGGTATAGAGCAACAAATGATAAGAACAGCAAGAATGGGAGATTCTACTTGCTTTGCGGTGTCAATCAGATATGCCAATAGCAGTTGAGCATCTTTAAATGATTTTTAAATTTCTGACACTTTTAACACTTAATCAGAAATTAATCAGCTCAATGCATGAGCCAACATGTCTATTATCTATATACAACAGCAGCAAAGTATTTATTTGCTTGGGCGCTATTGGGTTTTTTTTAATTCATCTGCATGTATTTGCAATTGTAATCCATGAATTCAATTAAGATTAATACTGTAGTAATAATGTGTGTGTCCCTTTATCGCAATTTATCAGACAGATCTGTCTGCAGTAGACACATTGTAAGGGATGCTTAGGCAAAAACTTCAACAAGCATTATGCTCTGCATTTTAATAACAGTTTTGTCACGCATTGAGGGCAGGACAGGAAGCAATGGGTGGAGGTTTATCAGAGGATAATTCAACCTGGAACTAAGGAGGAATTTCCTGCCAGCAAGAACAATTAATCAGTGGAACAGCTTGCCGCTCAGAATTGTGGGTGCTCCAACACTGGAAGTTTTTAAGAAGAGACTGGAGAGCTATTTCTCTAGGATGAGATAAAGACTACTGTCTTGAGCAGGGGGTTGGACTAGAACAGTGTTTCCCAAACTTGACAATTTTAAGGCATGAGGACGTCAACTCCCAGAATTCCACAGCCAGCAACGCTGACTGTGGAATTCTGGGAGTTGAAGTCCACATGCCTTAAAATTGTCAAGTTTGGGAAACACTGGACTAGAAGACTCTCTTCCAGTCCTATATTTCAATGGTTCTATGACTGAAATTAATTATTTTACATTACTCCTTAGTTTAGGGATAGGATGTCAGCCCTTCTCTAGTTTCTGAATGTAGGATATTTTCAAAATTAACCCCATGCCAACTAATCACTCAGAGATCATTATTTCATACCTGCTGCCAACTTCAAGTTTACAATAATGAGTGGATACACCCTTTATACTAAGCCATGACTTCATCATGGCTTATTGAGAAGCCATTAACTGGCTTGGTAATAAATAATGGTTTATGAAACACTCAGGCTGGTTTTTTTTTCCACATTGTGCTGAGGTAAAACCAAGCCATGTTATGGCATATCATAGCACAGTAGTGGTGAACCTATGGCACAAGTGCCAGAGGCGGCACTTGGAGCCCTCTCTGTGGGCATGCACGCCATTACCCCAGCCCCGCCTCCCCTGCAGCCCCCTCCTCCCCAGCAGCCCCCCCCCAGAGGAGAGTCACCCCCGGGTGCGGCCTGCGCGGAGCAGCACAACCAAGCACATGGCAGCTGGGCAGCAGATGATGCTGTGGGGTATGGGCAGAGGGCGTGGACACCATGGCGCTGCAGGGCTGCCTGGGTGATCTGTGGCGGGCCGTGGATAGCCCTGAGAGCGGGCGGGCTGAGGGCAGAGCGGGGGCAAGCCGGGGATGGGGCAGTTTTGGGGCACTCGGTCTCTAAAAGGTTCGCCATCACTGTCATAGCATGTGAATTCAACCAGCTCTGCAGGCTTTCTCACATACAGATTGTTGCTTCACAATATGCTTGGCCAGAATGCTTAAATTTGTAGCTCACTGCATTGTACAAACCCAGGAATCTGAAATACTTAAATAAGCCATGTTTCAGTTAACCACAGATTGGTTCAAAATGCATTATCTGTCTCATGCAATTCAAGCTACCTAATCTAATTTTCAAACTGATGAAACAGAATGGAAAAAGCCAAGCAAATTCTGCTAAATCAGTTGACGTTGAGGTTACACAGCCTTGTATTTACTGGTATTTTATCAATTATTCCTTAGTTATTCAATAAAAAGCATAACCTTCCTGGAGCTCAGCCTAAATTTTCTTGGCAGAGAATAGAAGTGATCTGCCACTCCTTTGTTTAGAGATGTGTTTTGGACTTCTGACGCTCAGAAAAAACACTGCAATGCAAGACAATGATTTTCCAAGTCAACTTTTTCTGCACAAAATATTCCTCTTTAGGCAAATTTTAGCTTTCAAAAGTTGTGAGATGCTTGTTTTTCAGGTGATTTGTCTAAACCAGGGGTCTTCAAACTTGGCCCTTTTATGCCTTGTGGACTTCAACTCCCAGAATTCCTCAACCAGCGTACCTTTTGAGTTGTTTCCTGTTCCTGTGGCATGAACTTTGATCTGGGTCTGAGTGTGCTTTTCTGGTATTCTGATGGTGATGGGTTAATCCTATTATGTCCCAAAGGTCATATCCTGCTTCCCTGGTGCTGGCTGAGGAATTCTGGGAGTTGAAGTCCACAAGTCATAAAAGGGCCAGGACTTGCTATATATAAGTCTAGGACTTCCTATATATAAGTCCATACAGTTCAGGGCTGGGTGGTTCACCCAATCCATCAATTTCAAGCCTGTTGCTGATACCCATGCAAAGGATGCGAAGTATGGCACCCTTAACTCCATCCTCAACTTTGCCAAAGGGCATCCTTGACTTATGAACTCAACTGAGCCCAACATTTCTGTTGCAAAGTGAGACAGTGGTTAAGTGAGCTTTGCCCCACTTTACAACTTTTCTTGCCACAGTTGTTATGTAAATCACTGCAGCTGTCAATTTAGTACACAGTTGTTAAGTGAATCTGGCTTCCCCATTGACTTTGCCTATCAGAAGGTCACAAAAGGGGATCACCTGATGATCCCAGGACACTGCAACCCCTCATAAATATGAACCAGTTTTCAAGCTTCTGAATCTTGATCACGTGACCGTGGGACTATGTGTGAAAAAAATGGTCATAAGTCACTTTTTCCCCCAGTGCCTTCTAACTTTGAATGATCACTAAGCAAATAGGGTGTAAGTTGAGGTCTACCTGTGTTGTTTCTCTGGGCCACATATGTGGGCATATGCATAACTGATTTTATTTATTTTTGTTAAGTTTATGCAGTGTATATTGGAAGTGGTTACCCTTTGAGAGCTGTACGCAATGAAATCTCATTTTAATATATGCGGATTAGTGTACATTTAAACTGACAATATTCTATTCTATTCTATTCTATTCTATTCTATTCTATTCTATTCTATTCTATTCTATTCTATATTCTCTCTGCTCTTCTAATATTCTATTTTCTATTCTAAAGTCCATACATCTCGGGAACTGGGTTCACCCAAGCCATCGATTTCAGGCCTCTCGCCAACGCCGGTGCAAGGAGAGCGAATCTTGCTTGGCCGGGAGGGGGGCGGCTGCTTTAGAAGCGCCCCCAACTCCTTCCTCGCCTTTGCCAAAGCCCTGCACAAATCCAGTTAGAAAACTGGCTAACCAGACCAAGTTTCAATGGGAACGAAGCCATGAGGGGCTGGGCTAGGTAAACACGGGGCTGGGCTGGGCAGGGTAAGGCGGGGCAGCGGCAGCTGGAAAAGCCCCGGACGGGGCGCGCCCTGCCCTTCTCCTTGGCGAAGGTTGAGAAGTTTTCCTCCGCCCGGGAAGCTACCTGGCAGCTCCGCCGCTTGCTCCGCCCGAGTCCGGCCTCCTTTCCAAAGTCGCTGATAGGCCCGAACGCCGCCGCTAGCCCGGCTCTAGTCCCCGCCTGTCTTCAGCTCGGGCGCACGATGGCGGCGTCGGCCTTGGCGCTGGCCGGCGAGGGGCCACGCCAGCTCCGGCAGAGCCTGTGAGTGCGCCGGGCGAGGAAGAGGGGCGCGGGCGGGAAGCCCCCCCCCTTCCGTTCGGGGTTCCCACGGGAGGCCGGGAGAGGAGAAGGCCGCTTTTCCCCTTCGGGTGGGGAGCTCTGCGCCGAGCCGCCCACTTGCAGAGCCCCACCGTTTGGCTGGCGGTCTCGAATTAAAGGGGGACCCCGCCGTCTCCCTTCCTGGAGTGGGAGGAATGTTTTTGAGGTCGCCCTTTGTAACTGCTGCTGGAGATCAACCTGCACGTATGGATTGGGTCTGACGCGCGTCTAAGCTTTCACACGGCCTCTCCCCCACATAACATGGAGTAACTGGAGCATAGCTAAATGTCTGTGGAGATTCTCCGTCATCCAGGCCATGGTTGTGCCAAAGGTACTTTTTCAAGAGGCAACTGGACTTTCTTGTTTTTCTTTGAAGACGTTTCGCTTCTCATCCAAGAAGCTTCTTCACCTCACAGCTGAAGAAGCTTCTTAGATGAGAAGCGAAATGTCTTCAAACGAGGAAGTCCAGTTGCCTCCTAAAAAAAGCACTTTTGGGACAACTGAAGCATTAGTGGTAATAGGTGATTTGTCAGCCGTTTGTCCCCGACATATGGCACAAATTGCCTCCACCATATTGCAGAAGGGGATCTTGTCCAACCCCCTGTTCAAGGGGGAGATATACCATTTCAGACAAGGATTGTCTAATCTCCTTTTAACAAGCATTGTTGTTCTTTGAGAACGGCTGTATCAGGCCTGGGGAATTGTGTTCACACAATACACTGAACTACAAAGTGAATCCTCTCTAGAAGCAAGCTTGAATTTCCCCCAGGAAGTACGGGTTGGATCCAGGTTGTTCCCTTGTCAACAGTATAGAATGGATTTGCCAAAGCTGCTTTTGGGATTTTGTCAAATCTCCTGGTGGTCTCCCATTCAGGTTTGAACAAGCTCTCATCCTTGCTTAGCTGTTCCAAGTTCACACAAGGTTGCTTTTTTTTAGTGTATCTTCTGCAAGCTGATTTAGGAATTGGGTCAAAATGTTATTTGAGCTCCAAGAATGTGTTTATTGAGAAAAACAGTGGTAGAACTAACAATGGGAAAGTATATTACACAAACCAGAGTTAATGGTTGGAGCTGCTGGCAAGGGGTGGAGTCTTTGAATGTTTCTGGAATATCTTATGCCTAGAAAATGTTTGTAAATCATTCATTCGGTACTTTTTGGAATGTCAGTGGGCTAACTTAGGAATGCAGCTAGTCCTCAACTTACGACTGCAGTTGAGACTAAAATTTCCATTGTTAAGCAAAAGTGATTGTTAAATTAATCACACCCAGTTTTATGATCATTGGCTTCCCATATTGATTTTGCTTGTCAGAAGCCGGCTTGGAAGGTCACAAATGGCAATGGTGCAATTTATACCAATTACAATGGTGTAAATACATGCCACTTGCCAAGTGTGCAAATAATCATCACATGGCTGTGGGGATGCTACAATAGTCATAAGTGCAAGGACTGGTTATAAATCATTTTTTTTCAGTTCTGTTGTAACTTTAAATGGTCGCTAAATGAATATTAAATTCCTGTTTGGATTTTTGACAATGTTCTTTTCCTTTCACAGAAAATGGCTTTGGGCTTTGTGTACCAGAGAATATTCTTTTGTAACAGGTAAATTATTTAGCTTATTTTCTTTATGGGAAATTTTCTAGATTTTTTTTTAAATGATAACATATTTATAATACCTAGAAAATGAACTTGCAGTCAGATAAAAATAATGACATTATTCTGGCATTCTGTTCTGCAAGTTAGTAGTAATAGGATATTGGCATAATTATTGCGGACCTTGAAATGCTTTTTATTTGAAAAACAGGTCAAAGGAATATCGAGAAAGTCCTCGTGGCAAACCGAGGAGAGATTGCCTGCAGGGTGATGCGGACAGCCCGAAAGATGGGGGTGAAGTCGGTGGCAGTTTATAGTGAGGCTGACCGGAATTCAATGCATGTAGCCATGGTAAAACTCATCAGCTGACACTCTTAAGGACTGATCTTAAAGGAGGCAAATTATGGAGCCAAATAATCTTGAATGAATAATACATTCACTTATCATACTTGGTGATATTGTGGTTGGCTTGCTTTAGAATGATCACAATACAGGTAGTCCTCAACTTAAAGCCATTTGTTTAGTGACTGTTCAAAGTAACAACAGCACTGAAAAAAGTAACATGACTGTTTTTAATCCAAATGATCTTTGCAGGATCCCCATGGGCATGTAATTAAAATTTGGGCACTTGGCAATTGGTTCATATTTATGACAGTTGCAGTGTCCTGGGTCATGGGATCACCTTTTGTGGCCTTCTGACAAGCGAAATCAATAGGGAAACCAGATTCACTTAACAACCATGTTTTTAACAACTACAGTGATTCATTAACAGCTGGGGCAAGAAAGATTATAAAATGGGGCAAAACTCATTTAACAACCACCTTAGTGATATACATTTTGGATTCAGTTGTGGTCGTAAGTTGAAGACTAACCTATATGCAAACTTAACCATGGTGGTTTGCACAATGTTTAGAAGACAATATGTTCAGGCTTTAAAATAATCATGGCTTAGCTCAGTGTTTTTCAACCTTGGCAATTTAAAGATATGTGGACTATCACTCCCAGAATTCCTGCATTGCTGGCTGGGGAATTCTGGGAGTTGAAATCCACATATCATTTAAGTTGCTAAGGTTGAAAAATACTGTAATTCAGTGCATAGGGTTTAATCACATTTCAGGTCTAAATAAAGCAATGTTTATAATCAGTATTCAAACTTTAATGTGAAGTCCTATGCATGGGGTGTCCACAGCAGTGGTCAAAAAAATCAAGATGGTGGCTTTGAAGAATTGAAGCCCTGTCTCTTTTTTTTTAACCAGGGTTACCTCACAAATTATAAAGGGTTGGGCCTTTATTAGCATGGTTCAGCTGCCATTTTGTTAAGCTACCTTCTAACTAATCCAGCTCAACCCTCTACTGCCTGAGTTTGTACTTCAAAGATGCATCAAAATATTGTGGAAAAGTTAGCCTGAAACATAACACAATAATAAAATGATGGTGTTTTCTTGTAGGCTGATGAAGCCTATTGCATTGGCCCAGCACCAGCTCAGCAGAGTTACTTATCCATGGAAAAAATAATACAAGTGGCCAGAAAGTCTGCAGCACAGGTACAGATTTGCTTTATATCAACTAATTTTTTACCTAAAATTGGGTTAGTGCAACATAACATAAGAGTCTGTGTGTAAGCTCACACATTGCAATCTTTGATATTCTGATTTTTTAAAAAAAAAGCAGTTTAATTTTAATCAGCAATTCTCCTATTTTAAATGCTCTCATTTCCCACAAATTTCGTTAAATATTCTGCTAATGCCCCAGCTCTTTCTGTGGTTAAACTCTGTGCCGTAATATGCCTGCTAATTGTAGAGGTTCAGCCATCCTAACAACATGTAACTATGCTACTATTCCATAGGTATTTTAAATGCAGCAGAAGGATAGTTCCTGGATGGCTTTGCAGATCAGTCATAGCAATTGATCAGATTTTTTACTGGTCACATACAGTGGTAATTGTTAGGTGGGAGGAGTGGGCACTAACTAACCTTTGCATTCTCCTATTGGTCAGCTGAAGAAACGACCAATTGATGATAGTATTCTGAAGTCGGTGGCAATGGAAAAGATTGCAAGTAGCTTCAATCTGCTTTTGAGAGTTTGGCAAACAGAAACAGCAGTGCAGAAATTTCTGCATTTTGGAGGTCAGATGCAGCTTCTGTAGACCTGCTAGAACAGCAGAAGCATCAAGAAGCCTTAAAGCCTCACACTATGCCCTTGATATTTCCTGTTTTAGGCCATCCATCCAGGCTATGGTTTCCTATCCGAAAACACAGAATTTGCTGAACTCTGTAACCAAGAAGGGATAATTTTCGTAGGTCCTCCTTCATCTGCAATCAGAGATATGGGCATTAAGAGGTATTCTGTGTTATTTCATTTGCTAAATTTATTATGAAGAGATTCTTTTGTTGGAACTACTAGATTCTTCCTTGTATTTGACTTGGGTTTCCCTCTTAGATAAATGCAGTGAATTGACCCTTTGATTCTTTAGTATTCTGAAAATTATGGTCTCAAATGAAATAGGGTCAGCGCAGAGCACCCAAATGCAATACAGGTAGTCCTTGACTTACAACAGTTCATTCAGTGACCATTCAATGTTACAACAGCACTGAAAAAAGTGACTTATGACCATTTTTCACACTTGGGACCATTGCAGTATCCCCATGGTCATGTGATCAAAATTCAGATACTTGGCGGGAAGATAACCTTGCTCCATGATGTCATGTTGGCCACATGACTGTAGAAATTTCTTCGGACAGCCCTGGCTCAATAGCTTTGAAATGGAGATGAGCACTGTCCCCTAGAATCAGCAACGATCAGCAGAGTAAAATCCACAGGGGACTGCTTTATATAATTTAATTGAGGTTAAATTAGAGATGGAAAGGGAAGGAATCTAGATGTAGTATTGGTTGATTTACAGGCATCAATCAGTCTTGACACTTGGTGGAGCCCTAGATTTTCCCCTTGATCAAAATGGAATGTGGTTTTCTTTCTCAATACTGTAAGGCAGGGGTCTTCAAACTTGGCCCTGGCTGGCTGAGGAATTCTGGGAGTTGAAGTCCACAAGTCCTAAAGGCCTAGTTTGAAGACCCCTGCTGTAAGTAAAGTGCATCAGTTGAAAGAGAGGTGGGTTGTGGGAGTGAAAAGCTTTCTTGCACAGTTCCTTTTATTGTTGACACTGAACATGAAGGTGTGTTCCCTTGAAGTACTTCTAAGGCCATCATGTCGGTGGCTGGAGTTCCTGTGGTGGAAGGTTACCACGGTGAAGACCAATCGGATAGGTTTCTGGAAGAGCAAGCCAGAAGGATCGGCTACCCAGTTATGATCAAAGCTGTCCGTGGAGGTGGAGGAAAGGTAGCATCCATTGGATGATATTTCATCAATTACTTCGCAGTTTGTTGCATCTCTGCTTAGGAGAGAGGTAGGCAACTTTGGATCTTTTAGGACTCCTGGACCAACTCCCAGAATTCCTCAGCCAGGCTCAGGAATTCTGGGAGTTGAAGTCCACGAGTCATAAAAGAGCCAAGGTTGCCTACCCCTGGCTTAGGATATAATCTCCTACCTCTGTATTGGTGCAGGAGTTAATCTGTGTGCTCACAGTACATTCATGCTGGCTTAGGAAATCTGGGATTGTAGTCCACAAGCCTTAAAGTTGCCAAGTTGGGAGATCCCCCCCTACAATAAACATGTTTAAATACAGGTAGTCCTCAACTTAAAACAGTTCATTTAGTGACCATTCAAAGTTACAATGGCACTGAAAAAAAGTGGCTTATGACTCTTTTTCATACTTACAAGCATTGCAGCATCCCCATGGTTATGTGATCAAAATTCCGCTTGGCAACTGACCCATATTTATGAGGGTTGCAGGGTCCCGGGGTCATGTGACCCCCTTTTGCAACCTTCTGACAAAGTCAGTGAAAAAACCAGATTCACGTAACAACTTGTTATTAACTTAACAATTGCTGTGATTCACTTAACAACTGTGGCAAGATATGTTGTAAATGGAGCAAAATTCACTTAAATGTCTTGCTTAGCACAGAAATTTTGGGCTCAGTTGTGGTCATAAGTCAAGGACTACCTGACCATTTGTTAAACAAACTGGACTTGGATAAGCAATCACAGTATATAATTTATTTTGTTAACATGATGCTAACCCAAAACTGATTTAAGGGTTCCTGTTGCTTGTGTGAACTGAGTGTAGATTGTTGTGAAAGAACACACTCGTGTGCAACAATGGACTATAAATAAGCCTGGGGGAACCAAGTTGTAGACTGCAAAGTTGCATTGCATTTTATCACGTGGTTTTTATTTTTATATATGTTGCCATCTATTTTTAATAAGTTTAGAAAGCCAAAGATGAATTGATTTTGCAGTCTCATCTCAAGTGCCCTACATAGCCCTTAAAGAATCTTTATAAAATATAGGCACCAGGTCAATCCTTTTTTATGGCTATCAAGAATATATAGGTCTTGGTGTATTCAGGTCTTTTCCCATGTAAGATTGAGAGTATCTTGGCGACGTTTCGACGAGGTCTCACTCATCATCTTCAGGCTGGGGTCTTCGGCTTCGTGCTTGTGCGAGCAAAGTGTGATTGGAGCTGCCGTCTCTCTATATATATTGGGGGGGGGGTGTGGAGTGCTGGCTTAGTTGCTGTAGGTGGATTGGTTGGCTGTGTTGGAGTTATTGTTTGTGGATTGTTTGGCTGTTAAGTAACATCCTGAGTAGTTGAGGTGCTGGCTGTGTGCTCATTAGTCTTTTGTGTTGTAACGACCTGGGTAATGGGTTGTGTGATGACATCCTGAGGTTTAGTGTAGTGATATCCTGAGTTCTGTGTTGCACCATCCTGGGTGGTTGGCTCTGTTGTAACATCCTGAACTTTGGCGTTGTAGCCTCCTGAATTCTGTGATGTGATGTCCAGGGCTGAAGGCCTTCAACTACTCAGGATGTTACGAAACAGCCAAACAATCCACAAACAATAGCTCCTACACAGCCAACCAATCCACCTACAGCAACTAAGCCAGCACTCTACACACCCCCACCAATATATATAGAGAGACGGCAGCTCCGATCAAACTTTGCTCACACAAGCACGACGCCGAAGACCCCAGCCTGAAGATGACGAGTGGGACCTCGTCGAAACGTGGTTATTCGGGTTTTCTCCCACGTAAAATTGGAAGTGTCTTGGCGACGTTTCGACGAAGTCTCATTCATCATCTTCAGGCTGGTGCTTTTGGCTTCGTGCTCCTCGAAGCATGAAGCCGAAAGCACCAGCCTGAAGATGACGAATGAGACTTCGTCGAAACGTCGCCAAGACACTTCCAATTTTACTGTTTAAGCTAGTGATTGTGCAAATGAGCTGCCTCTGTTGTTGTTAATGTAACAAAAAACATTTCTTACTTTTTTTTCAGAGTAATTTATTTAATTCTTTTGCTAATATTAGTTTTATCATTTATTCCCCCTAGGGAATGAGAATAGCATTTACTGAGAAAGAATTTCAGGAGCAATTGGAATCAGCTCGAAGAGAAGCAAAGAAGTCCTTTAACGATGATGCCATGTTGATAGAGAAGTTTGTTGACAATCCAAGGTAACGCAACAATCTGTTGGGCAGCTCTTTATCACCCCCTTTGATAGCTCCACTACTGCGCAGGATGTACATTGTAGATCAGTGGTTCTCAACCTGTGGGTTGGGACCCCATTTGGGGTCGAACGACCATTTCACGGGGGTCGCCAAACAAGGCAGTCCGCCATTTCCCCCCCCCCCACCTTTTCCTCAGCTGTGCTACTCCCTTTTATTCTATTGGCTTTTGAAAGCCAATAGGAATTGTCCAGGCTGTCTCTGCCCTGCTGAGCCCGCCAAAAGTCCCATTCTGCAAACGGTGCTGCACCAGTTGATTAGTCCTTGACTTACGACCGGTTGAGTAGTCCTCGACTTACGACCGGTTGGGGGTCGCGGCATTAAAAAGGTTGAGAACCACTGTTGTAGATGATCTTGAAGAAAATATGCAGCAACCGTTTATAGAACGTAAGCAATGTCAGCCATACAAGATAGGCCAGACAGGAAACAGAACAACAGATTAATGGAGTTGGAAGGGACTTTGGAGGAGTTCTAGTCCAGCCCACTGATCAAGCAAGAAACCCTATACCATTTCAGACAAATGGTTGTCCAGTCTCTTCTTAAAAACCTCCAGTGTTGGAGCATTCACAACTTCTGGAGGCAAGCCGTTCCACTGATTAATTGTTCCAACTGTCAGGAAATTTCGCCTTAGTTCTAAGCTGGTTCTCTCCTTGATTAGTTTCCATCCACTGCTTTTCGTTCTGCCTTCAGGTACTTTGGAAAATAGATTGACCCCCTCTTTTTTGTGTCGGTCCCTTAGATATTGGAACATTGCTATCATGTCAGCCCTAGTCCTTCTTTTCATTAGACTAGGCCAGGGGTAGGCAACCTTGGCTCTTTTATGACTCGTGGACCTGAACTCCCAGAATTCCTGAGCCAGCCATGCTGAGGGGAAAGGGAGAGGTTTCCAAGCTGAGCCATGCTGGCTCAGGAATTCTGGGAGTTGAAGTCCACAAGTCATAAAAGAGCCAAGGTTGCCTACCCCTGGACTAGACATACCCAATTCCTGCAACCGTTATTCATATGTTTTATCCTCTGGGCCCCTAATCATCTTTGTTGCTCTTCTCTGCATGGCTAGATGAGCCAATTCTACTTTATTGAAGGTTACATTAATAGAATCTTTCAAGTTTGAAAATATCTCTCCCTGGGAACAATTTACAACCCCCAAACTAAGTATGGTTTCTTCTGAGCTTTTGCCCTCCCTACATTCTTGCTGTGGACTTAGCTGCCTTTTATCTAACTGTTCTCTTGATGGTGTCTCATTGCCCTGCCTGCTTAGGTCATTCCCACAAAGCATTGCAGCTTACCCCTGGAAAATAAGAAAGCATGAGAAAGAAACATGGTATTGCCAGCCTTGGTTCTCTTTCATATTAAAAGGGAAGAAAAAAGAAATATCTTTGGGATGTCAGGATTCCATTTTTACAGTAATATTGATAACGTTCTAGATTCTTGTGCCTTTTTTTCTGACTTGGCCTTCCTTGGAAGGGCTGACATAAATATCTATGCGATAAGCTGTAAAACGCATGAAGGCAATTGAAAAAGAAACAAAAAAAGAAAATTGTTCCACATCCTCTCATCCAAATAGCAAACTGAAAATCCCAGTTTTGCCACATTTGAGGTATGGATTCCTTCCCTCCTCATAATATATTTAACGCCATGAGGCTTATTTCTGCTATCTTCATTTCTATATCTAAAAAATTAAAATACCTCCAAAGTATCTGATGGATTTTGTTAGTCATGTTAAAAATTCAAAAAATTGGGATTAGGTATAAGCATCGATGGACAATATTATAGTCCCACTTACAAATTTTAAAATGTGAAACAGGCACGTAGAAGTTCAGGTATTTGGAGACCAACATGGCAATGCCGTCTACCTGTTTGAAAGAGATTGCAGTGTACAAAGAAGACATCAAAAAATTATTGAGGAAGCCCCAGGGGTAAGTAGTCAGCTCTTGAAAGACAATTCAAATAGCCATGATTCTTGTGTTTACTATGTTAGTGTAATATTTGTTTTTATGCATGCTGTTAAGGCAGTCTCAGTCCAGTATTTCTGCAGAAAATAGTATCTTTTTCAAGGTCCTGAAATTCTCAAAGCATATTAATTTTCTTTGTATTGTATTGAACAGAATGCAGTTCTACAAATGCAGCTATCCTTCCTTTGATTTGAGCATGGAAGGACTTACCGTACTTTTTTTTTAGAAAGTTCTTACTGGCTTTATTTTCTGCCTCATGTGTTCCTAACATCCATTTAAATGGTTATGATGTCTCAGCATAAGTTGGGCTAAACTATGTTGCCCATTATTTGCAACTCATTTGTATATTTTGAATGTTTCATATATGTTAAGCTTTCTGTCAACATATACTACTTCAGTTAAAAGAATTTAACGTTGCTCTTTCCAAAATGCTGGAAAGTTGATGAAGTTGAGTTAATTGGGACTATAATGGGATTTAAATGGATATTAAGAAATACAGGTAGTCCTCAGCTTAACCTGCTGTTTAGCAACTGTTCAAAGTTACAATGGGCGTACCTTGGGGCTACTTAAAATTTGAATTTCCAACAGTTACCCCCCCCCAACAGTCACATGACTGAGCTTTGGGCACTCAGCTACCAGCCCACTTTTATGGCTGTTTGCAACATGGTCATGTGACCACATTTATTTATTTATTAAATGTATTTTCCTCCCATCTCGCTGCCAGGTGACTGTGCTTTGCAGAAAACCTGCATTTGCTTTGAGTTTTTGGCAAAATTGCACCGTATTGGTTTGCTTAAGGTCCACAGCATTTCCTTAATGACTGTGGCATTTGCATAACAATCGCTGCCCCCCCCCCCAAAAGGTAAAATTGACTTGTTTTTACGACCATCACAACTTACAGCCCTGATCAGCAGGCTCCATTATGTTCATAAGTTGCAGACTACCTGTAAGGACAAACTTTAATACCAGTTGTCCAGAGTGAATGTGCAGTCAATAAAAATGCAAGGGTGTCTTGATGCATTGTGTGACCCTAACATAATATTATTGCTATCCTTGTTAGCCAGGAATTAAGCCTGAAGTGAGAAGGAAGCTTGGAGAAGCTGCTGTTAGAGCAGCAAAAGCCGTGAACTACGTAGGAGCAGGTATTGCAAACCCAACTTCCTTTTAATGTTGAACACAGGTTCATAGGGAAAGGTATTTCTCCTTTTTATTCTTTCCATGCTTGGAAAGAAATTACGTAAAGAATCTTGGGACTCTTTCTAGCCATCAGCAGGTTAACTCCCCTGACAACTGAATAGGATCGGACCAAATTTAGCATATAGGGGGAAAGAAATCTCAGGTTCAAAAATGACCAAGTTCAGCCTTGGGACTCCAAAGAAAAACATTTTAGGAGAAATTTCCCAGTGTGTCTCCAGCAGGAGCAGCAGTTTGATTGACAGCTCAGAAGGATAGATGGACACATTCCAAGTCTCCCTCCTGCTCCTCCCACCACCTCCTGGTCACATGACTTTGTGTGGTGCTGCTGATAGGAGCTGAAAAGAAGTCAAGTCTTAGCTCTATAGGTCAAGTACTTCTCAACCTTGGTGGCTTTAAGAAGTGTGGACTTCAGCTCCCAGAATACCCCAGGCAGCATAGCTAGCCGGAGAATTCTAGGAATTGAAGTCCATGCATCTTAAATTGCCAAGGTTGGGAAACCCTGTTTTAGCCTCTCACACATAGATCAGGTTCCCAAAAAAGAATTAAAAGGTATCAGCAGGGTGTGATGAAAAAAGTCAAAATGGCACCCACAACAGACTAATCCAGTGTTTCTCAACCTTGACAATTTTAAGGCATGTGGACTTCAACTCCCAGAATTCCACAGCCAGCAATGCTGGCTGTGGAATTCTGGGAGTTGAAGTCCACATGCCTTAAAATTGTCAAGGTTGAGAAACACTGGACTAATCAAAGCACATAAATGCACATAAAACCAGACAGAGCTTTAACTGCACTGTCATGGCCACCGTATTGACTTCTTTTTTTGACACTCCTGACTGAAATCAACAGTCTGCTATAAAATAAGATACTTGGCTGCTGTAACCTCAGTTTAACTCAGCTTAAAGGAGGGCATACCCATGCTGGCTAAGTAATTCTGGGAGTTGAAGTTCCTACATTTTAAAGCGACCAAGGTTGAGAAACACTGCTAAAGGTTTTTTTCTACCTTATTTGCATTTTGGAGAGCTCAGATTCCAATTCAACAAAACACGTTGCAATATATCTGAGCCTAATAGCTTTTAAGGCTTCTTTTGAAGGATCTACATGTTAATTAAACTGAGAAATGTTGCTTTCTGAAGGATTTCTCAGGTATACATAGAGATAAATAATGTTAACCATTAGTTTGATTTACAATGCTTACTTAGAGAGTGAATCGCAGGGACAAAGAAGCTATACTGGGATTGTATTCATTTGTAGTTTTAATATTCCGACCTTTGTATACTATGCCTTTGTTAAATGTTTTAGGAACTGTGGAGTTTATCATGGACGGTGCACATAATTTTTATTTCATGGAAATGAATACCAGGCTGCAGGTAGAGCATCCAGTTACAGAGATGATCACAGGGACTGACTTGGTGGAATGGCAATTGAAGGTAAGAAGTAGTAAAGCATAGGAGTTCTGTTGGATTCTCAAGAAGCAAGACTGTTCTTTCACTTGGGACCATTAATTATATTATTTCTGTAGAAATATTCAGAGAAGGAGTTTGGGAATGATTTTTTTTCTTGTTAGACTTGGGCAGAGGGTGGCACCGTGCAGATCCATTCTCCCCCATTTAATTATACTGTCATAGTTCTGACAGATAAAACTCTTCAAAAGAACTTCGAGGCATTGTTTACCTTAAAGAATTTTTTATTTGAGTAACACAGTGGTTCTCAACCTGTGGGTCGGGACCCCATTTGGGGTCGAACGACCATTTCACGGAGGTCGCCAAACAATGCAGTTCGCCATTTTTTTCCCCTTTTCCTTAGCTGTGCTACTCCCTTTTAATCTATTGGCTTTTGAAAGCCAATATAATAGACTCTCTTGGATAGAGTCTAATTCTATTGGCTTTCAAAAGCCAAGAGGAATTGTCCAGGCTGTCTCTGCCCTGCTGAGCCCGCCAAAAGTCCCATTCTGCAAATGGTGCTGCACCAGTTGAGTAGTCCTCGACTTACGACCGGTTGGGGGTCGCGGCATTAAAAAGGTTGAGAACCACTGGAGTAACATAATATCAGCACTGCATAATCGAAGCCAAAAACTGAATTCCCCTCCCCTGGGCACATAGTATGAAAGGACAATTCCTTCCTCCAATTAACAATCATAAATCACATTCCCCAGTTAGCTTGAAGCACAGGCTTCCTCTCCAGCTCTCCAGCCCGCCAATTCTTTATCAGCTCTGGGCTCAATAACCTTGATTCTCACACTAAGTTTAGTGTTGCTATGTCTAGCTAGATTCTCATTCACATCCCCCCCCCCTCCCAGCATCATCTAACTCTAAAAGCAAAAGGTGAAAGATGGCTACATTTCCATCTGTCGTCAATGCAAAAACATCCGGTGTTAGCAGCGTTGATATATACACTCTCACATGTGCATTTTGTGAGGTTCGGGGCTTTGAAAATGAAAGATGGAAAGTTTAGCTGGTTTACAGTATCTTTGGGACAGAATTCCGCTCGTAGTCCTTGAGAGGCACAGATTCCCAACTGGAAAAGCAAAATTTGAGAGAGCACCAGAGGTTTTGGAAACGTTTAATGGTTAGAGATTGTCAGCAGATAAGGAATTCACAAATGTATTTATGAGAGCAGGGTTTTTTTCAGCAGCAGCTAGCGCCTTCGTACCTACGCAAACAGGGCCGCTAGTGTTGTGAGGGTGCACGTGGCCCTGTTTCGGCTGCTCCCTCTCCCTCTGGGATCCCAGCATGAAAAGGTTGGTGACCTCTGGCTTAGAGAGTGCCGTAAAGCGGTATATAAGTCTAAGTGCTATTGCTATTAAGCTATGGGTTGTGTTTGAAGAGTTGTCTTTAATTTTTTGGAATTCTGTCTAAGCATCAAACAAGAAATTTGTGACTTGATTATTCCTTTCAGCTCTACGTTCTATTATAAAGGCTGTCGTTAAATTATGGACAGAGTTAGAGGGAACAATTTCATGCAGCTTGCTTTCTATCAATTAGCTTTTTTCCAGAAGCTTTTTCATTTCCTCGGCCTGTGATCAAATATTTTTTCTTGAAGTTTTTTTTTTTAATATTCTGATTGCCTAATAACCTACTCCAAATTTTGCAGGTTTCAATTCTTCAATCTCATATTAGGTAAACTTTTCTGGGGTGTTCCCTTCTTTGTTTATCTTATTATTTGTGATTATGATTTTTTTTAATGTTTTAATTATATTTTGACACTGTTGTAAGCCCGCCAGAGTCACTTGACAATGCGATGGACAGCATATACATTTCATAAATAAAAATAAATCAGTCTGTGTGTGCAGAGAAAATGAGCAGTGCTGTTCTTTACAGGTTGCTGCAGGAGAGAAGGTTCCTCTGACTCAGGAAGAGATTGTCCTCAAAGGACATGCATTTGAAGCTAGGATCTACGCTGAAGATCCCAACAACAACTTCATGCCAGGAGCTGGGCCCTTACTGCATCTGTCCACGCCATCTGCTGACAGCTGCACCAGGATAGAAACTGGGGTAAGACAAGGTAAAATGAAGCCCTCTCACTAGGATTGGCAGAAATGTCTTTGTTGTGGTTCTGGCTAATGAAACATTCCAAAGAACTTCCAGGCATTTATTTTCCTAAAAGTCTTTTATTGTTACAAAATGTCGGCACAGGCACAACGGAGGGATGCTAGGATCTAAGTTCTCTTCCTCCGAGCAGTTAAATTATCAGCATGTTCCCTCCCTAAATTAGCCGTCATATCTCACACTATCCAATTAGTGTGAAGGTCAAATGTTTTCTTCCTCTTTCTTTCCCGGGCTTTACCCCCAACGCCCCTTCTGCTCTTTATTAACCCCATATTTACCAGACAATTCTGCATATTGTCAAAAGCAAGAATATACAATATTTGCAGCGTTGACAGTCTTCTGGTTTTAAAAGGCAACCTGCTGACGGTTGCCTTTGTTGAAACACGGGACGGGTGACCAAAGTTGTTGGTTTCCTGCTACAGTACCAAATCAAGGGTCTACCACAGTGATGGCGCACCTTTTAGAGACCGAGTGCCCCAAAATCGCCCTGCTCTGCCTGCTCGCAGGACCACCCACTGCCTCCACACCCACCACAGATTGCCCAGACGGCCCAGCAACGGCATGGCTGCCACACCCTCTGCCCACGTCCTGCAGCATTATCTGTACGCAATGAGGCACGAGGGCAAAGTCTTGTCCCCACTTCCCAGCTGCCATGATCTTGGCTGCGCTGCTCTGCGCAGACTGTGCCCGGGAGTGACTCTCCTCCGGGGGGGGGCTGCTGGTGAAGAGTGGGCTGCAGGAGGAGGCGGGGCCGAGGCGACAGCGCACGTGCCCACAGAGAGGGCTCTGAGTGCTGCCTATGGCACGTGTGCCATAGGTTCGCCCCCACTGGTCTATGCCAACTCGCTGCAGCCAACTCGTCGCAACGAACTTGCGGCAGGAGAATCCGCCGTGGACAACTCACCGTGGGGCAAGAGTTACACTAATATCAAAGAAATAGTGGAATAGAATCATTAAAGGAAGGATGCCAAAGGAGGGACAAAATGAAAGGTGAATGACAAAAATTAAAATATTTTTAAAATTATTTTAAATAATTAAACTGAAATGTTGAATTGTCCCGTGGTGGCCATGTTGAGTTGTCCTGCAGTGAGTTGACTGTGGTGAATTGGCCAAGACAAACTGTCCCATTCCCCCAAATCCAAGTTCTCTTTTATTCAGATGTTGAGGTTAAGCTTCATGTCTCTCCTTGCCACCAATTTCAATAATACCTTCTCCAAGAGTTTGATTCTGAAACATTCTGCAATTTTTCAGTAGAATCTCAGTACGGGTAATCCTCGAATTACGACCACAATTGAGCCCAAAATTTCTATTGCTAAGTGAGACAGGTGTTAATTGAATTTTGCCTCATTTTACGACCTTTCTTGCCACGGTTGTTAAGTGAATCTTTGGAGTTGTTAAGTTAGTTACACGGTTGTTAAGTGAATCTGGCTTCCCCATTGACTTTGCTTGTCAGAAGGTTGCAAAAGACGATCACGTGAGCCTGGGACATGGCAACCGTCATAAATGTGAGTCAGTTGCTAAGGGTCTGAATTTTGATCACGTGATGCTGCAATGGCTTAGGTGTGAAAAAAGGTCATGAGACATTTTTTTTCAGTGACATTGCAACTATGAACAGTCATTAAATGAACTGTTGTTATAAGTCGAAGACTACCTATAACATGCTTCTGTGGGGTAGAAGTACTTCATGGCTAATCTAGAATGATTCTTTCTAGTGTCAACATTACAGTTGATATTGTTGATCTAGAATAGTTTCTAGACCTGTTCTTCCAAGCTGCAAAACATTCATACAGAACTGTGAGTAGCTTGCCTGAAAAGTGTTGTTTAGTTTACTGCAAATGTCTTAAGCTGTGACAACGTGGAAAATCCAGTAGCTCCTTCCTGAGGGAGATGGGCAGTTCAAAAATGTGAAATATAAATAAATATTTATTCTGGCAAATCATTTTTTCTCTGTGTTTCTATTTCAGGGGATGAGGTTTCTATACACTATGATCCGATGATTGCTAAATTAGTTGTTTGGGCAGAAGATCGCCCAGCTGCTTTAAGGAAATTAAGATACTGCCTTCAACAATATAACGTAAGTGTAAAACTCTGTTAGGTGTTTAAAATGATACCCCTGATAAAAACATTTTCCAGATTTCCCTTCTCTGATGCTATCAGGCCTGCAGAGATTATGACTCCCAGAATCATCAGCCAAGATAGCTAAAGGTCCAATGGTATGTTGGAAAACAGCAAATTGGGGAAGATTGTTGTACATAGTATTATATTGTGTCTTCAGGCATTGACAGATGTACGTGTGTGTCTATCTGTCTGTCTGTCTATCTGTCTATCTGTCTATATATCTATATCTGGTTGATAATATCAGTAAAAATTCGACTCCTGGGTATATTCATATTGTAAAATAAATAAATAACGATCACCAGGAGAATCAATGAGAAAAATATTTAATAAAACCTAGCTTTCGTTGGAAAAAAAAACACCCACTCAGCCCCAGAATTAGTGATGGAGGAGTGAATAAGAGTATATGGAATAGAAACAGGAAGGGGCTGGGCGCTGGCGCTAAGGGTATGTTCAGAGTGCAATTTGATCAGCTGGGACCAATGACGCGGTCCAGAAGCCGGATGCAGGCGTTTGGTGATCCTATATAAGTTTCTTCCCATCAACTGCTTTTAACCCTGATGATGTTGGAAGTTCCCAACGAAAGCTAGGTTTTATTAAATATTTTTCTCGTTGATTCTCCTGGTGATCGTTATTTATTTATTTTGCAATATATCTATATCTATCTATCTATCTATCTATCTCAGTGGTTCTCAACCTGTGGGTCGGGACCCCATTTGGTGTCGAACGACCATTTCACGGGGGTCGCCAAACAACACAGTCTGCCATTTTTCCCCCCTTTTCCTTAGCTGTGCTACTCCCTTTTATTCTATTGACTTTTGAAAGCCAATAGAATAGACTCTCTTGAATAGAGTCTAATTCTATCGGCTTTCAAAAGCCAATAGGAATTGTCCAGGCTGTCTCTGCCCTGCTGAGCCCGCCAAAAGTCCCATTCTGCAAACGGTGCTGCACCAGTTGAGTAGTTTTCGACTTACGACTGGTTGAGTAGTCCTCGACTTACGACCGGTTGGGGGGTCACGGCATTAAAAAGGTTGAGACCCACTGGGATAGATAGATAGATAGATAGATAGATAGATAGATAGATAGATAGATAGATAGATAGATAGATAGATAGATAGATAGATAGATAGATAGATGTGCCTTTAAGACAGTTTTGACTGGACTAATCTCTGCAGTTTTCTTGGCAAGATTTCAAAAATGGTTTGCTATTGCCTCCTTCCTAAGGCTGAGAGAGAGTGATGGCCCAAGATCACCCAGCTGGTTTTGTGCCTGAGACAGGACTAGAATTGATGGTTTCTTGGTTTCTAGCCTGGTGCCTGAACCACTACACCAAAGTGACTCTTCAGATGTAGTTACACAAAATCTCACCACTACAACAGGTGAAAGCCAGCAATTGGGTTGATGGAAACCATCCTGAGACATTGTTAGTTGATTGCTCAGGGACGCAAGTCATACTCTGTAGATTTTGATTAGTCTCCTTCCTCCCCTCCCCCACCCTTGCAATCTAGACATTGGCTACTGTTCTTCTCTGCTACCTGCTACTCAAGTGTTGAGCACACCTTCAGAATATGCATCCTTGAGAGATTTCCACAAAATACGGAAGGCTATGGAATATACTATCAGTCCTTGGCGTTGAGATTTCCCCCCATTCATTTTAATGTTCCAAAAGTTGCTTAAGACCAAAAGTTTTCTGTCCATTGGAGAATAGGTTACTGTCACCATCTTAGCACATTTACATTTTCAAGTTCATTCCTTTGTTTTGCTTTTGTAGTTTGGTGGTATACTTGTACCTCTTCATTAGCATTAGAATATATTTTCTGGAACTATTGCTTTATTTTTTTTCATGGTAGATATTTTAGTTGAATGGTGGTGCACATGTATAGTTATAAACGACCACGAGGCTTTGCCGACATAGCAATATGCAAGCTGAATTGATGAATTAATCTTTTGGTCTTCCATACCTTGCTGCAGATTTTTGAATTTATTAGTTAGGACCAAAGAGCATCTGTTGGCTGATTTGCCTTTTTCTGGTGCATTTCTTCCTCCCATGACAGATTGTTGGACTGAGCACCAATGTGGATTTCTTATTGAATCTCTCAGCCCATCCAGATTTTGAGGCTGGGAAGGTTCACACCAATTTTATCCCTCAACACCACGGTGAGCTCTTTCCACCCAAACGATCAATTTCAAAAGTGACTTTGTGCCAGGCAGCTCTTGGGCTCATTTTGAAAGAGAAGCTGATGACTAATACCTTTAGACTCCAGACAGAAGGTAAGAAAGCTGCAGCTTTTCCTGTTTTATTGCTGAAAAATGTGCTTTACATATTACTTGCATACAGTGTATATCAGCGTTTCTCAATCTTGGCAACTGGGGACTTCAACTCATTCTTCCTGGGGAATTCTGGGAATTGAAATCCACGTATCTTAAAAGCTGCCCCAGTTGAGAAACATTCATGTGCTTTAAAAACTGCCGGTGTTTCTGTGCATCCTGTTTAATTATTTTTCATTTGATTATCTTGGGGTAGCTGCTAAACAAAACAGAACACATAACCTCATAAGCATACCATCAAATTGCAAGATTTGATTGTATGTTGACTTGCTGGGATTCAGAATCTGTTTTGCAAGCATTTGAGTGATTCATTAACAGATGTTCTGGTCCAGTGTTGATTCTCATCGATGGAGACTTTGAGCAATGTGCATAAAAAAGGTTCCCAGTTTCGTTGCATGGAAAATTCTAGTTTGAACAGTTGTCCACAAATAACAAATTTGTACTGAGACGTTCCTGTGTACATGGTCTCCATGCGTGCAGCGTTACGCAAAGTAATGTATCAAATTGCAAGCAGGTTTCGATATTGCTAGCATTGTCCAATTCAGCAGAAATATGTATTAAATATCTATCTTTTTCTGTATACATTTAATATTCTAGATAAGTTCTCTCCATTTGCATCCAGCAGTGGCAAGAGAATAAATATCCCTTACGTTAGAAACATCACTCTTCTGGATAATGAAAAAAGTAAGTGGATGAACTGTAAATAAATAATTGAAAATTACTTACAAAATGATAATGAAAGTTTCTTAACTGTACTATTGTGTAGCTGAAAAGGACAAAAAGATATAAAATGTGTGATTAGGTTGGATGTGAAGTAGCCTATTGTGCAAACTGGCTGGGATATTTTGGGAACTGAAGCCCACCAGTCTTAAAGTTGTTGAGATTGATTATGAGTTACTGGGTTTTGTATTGGGGTTTCATTTCTCTGCTATGAGTTGAGTGACCATATAATTTTATGAATGAATAAATGAATACAAAAATCAGCAAATGAAATAGGAGAGACAGTGGGTAATGAGAGAGACTGAGACTTCTTTACTGTTGATGTGTCAGGTTAACTATATATGCTTCGTGTTGGATTTATAATGTTCTCTAATTAATTGAATTAATTTAAATCTTTATTTTTACACCAGATGTGAATATTGCCATACAGTACAATCACAATGGATCTTATGACATGCGGGTAAACCTCTTCATAATAATGTATTTAACAACTTAAGCCCTGTGTTATTCGGCCCATTCAATCTACTGTATAAAAAATGTAACAGCACATATTTATTGGGCCCAGTCTCATTTCTGGACAGAATTAAGAGGGAAAAACAGTTCAGTGACTGTGAAATAATGTTACTATTTTGTGCTGTTTTTACTGAGTGTCATTATTGATTAATGTTGTCAGTTACCCAACTTGCTTGCAGAGAAAAATGGGAGTATGGGGGAAAAAAAGTCTCTCTCTCTCTCTCTCTCTCTCTTTTTTTTTTTTTTTTTTGCTTTCCAGTTTTTTTCTTCTTTCCCATGAAAGATATCCAGAGTTTATTCTATTTTTTCCTTCTCTGCCCTGTCTTGAAACCTTTTAAGCTTTACAACTGTGCATTTTTTGAGCAAGGAAGCTTATGATAAGTCCAAATATGCTGGCTTCCAAAGATAGTAGTATGAAGAGAGAAACATGTCGTCCTTGTTGATTTATAAAACTTAGCTTCTTCTTTTTTTTTTAAATACGTCACTGTTTCTCAAAGTTAATTTTGTACAAAGTTGTGGATAGGAAAAACATCGGAAGACTTATGACATAGTTTGAACAGATGGACATGTTTTTAACATAGAAAGCTGATTGACTCCATTGCAGCTGCCAAGATACATTAAAAAATAAATTGAGTGGGATTCTCCTAAAATACAAGTTATTTTTGATATTTTCTTGAGTTTCAGAAAAAAAGGGAAGAGAAAACAAGACTTGAGAAGGTTCTGATTTCTAAGAAACACGGATTTTTGTCCTTGTTTTTAAATTCTTTTCAGTTTTTTTTTCCCCTCAAAAACATTCCCTTAGAAAACTGTGTGATTTTTTCTCTCTCAGGTTGATTTTCCTCTGGAATGGTGTATAAACCCTTGTAAATCTATTTCAGATAGAAGATCAGCTTTTCCATGTTTCTGGCTGCCTGATGATGAATGATGGCATAGAATATATAAGATGTTCAGTGAATGGAGTTGTATCCCAGTGCAAATTAGTAGTCCTGGATACTGCCATCCACCTTTTCTCGTCGGTAATATGTTCTATTTTATTTGCACGGGGAATAAAATTAATAAAAAACTGTTAAAAAAGGAGCATTGACGTCTAACCTATTATTTCTGTAAATATTAGGGCAGGGCTTTTCAATCAGTGGTACAGGTGGTACATTGGCACCTGGCAGGTGGTATGCGATCATCCTAGAAAAGTGGTAGTGGGGGAGGGGAATGAGCTGAACTGATGGCAGCACCTCACTAGCCTGAGTGAGAGATGGCTGGAGCTGCAGGACTGTCAGGGCTCAGCGGAAGCGCCAGGATCAGCGCCAGGCTGCAGCTGGAGCTCGGCGCTGATCCTGGTGCTTCTGCTGAGCCCAGAAGAAGCACCGATCAACTGGAATGTTGCAGCATCTCCAGGGTCTTGTGATTTACATTCAGATGCTTGGCAACTGATTTATATTTATGACGGTCACAGTATCCCAGGGTCATGTGAAGTGACCAAAGCCTGCTGCAACCACCCAGCAGATGGGGGGAATAAAAACCAAACACCCCCCACCCTACCCCCGCTGCCAATCCTCAACGGAAATGCTCACAACAACGAAAACCTCAGACAGGAGGAAGAGCACCCGGGCGGGCAGGCAGGTGTCTTGCTCAGCTGTGGCTTGGGGGGCACTTTTTCAGTGCCATTGTAACTTTGAACAGTCACTATGCAAACTGTTGTAAGTTGAGGACTACCTGTACTTTATCACTTTTTTCCTTTTTTTTTTTTTTTGGTCATCAAGTTTTTAACACCTTGCTAGGCGACTGGTAGTACTCGGATGTTGCCATATCCTAAAAGCGGTACAATGGGTGAAAAGGTTGAAAAGCTCTGTATTAGGGAAAGGGAATCTCTGGCTGTGGCTAGTATGCAGGTTGTCAGGCTCAAAAAGATCAGGACCAAATGTTAACTTGCAATTCAGATTATTGCTCATGCCTGTACACAAGAATTTAATCAATTAATGGTCAGCTCTAAATCATGCTTGATAAGAGTCAACTGAATTCAAAGAGAGCGGGACTTGGATGGCTTGTGGATACATAATGACTCTAAGCTGATGACGCCCTTAATTCCACCCCCCGTTCTGCCTGCTCTTCGCCTACAGTCCTTTTTATACTTCCTGAAGCCACCTGAAATCTCAGTTCTAAATTTTAATGACAAATGTTTTAATATTAATTTTTTGACATTGTTTTACTTATCAGTTGTACAGGTAATCATCAGCTTGCAACAGCTGATTTAGAGACCGTTCAAAGTTACAACATCAGTGAAAAAGGAGGCTTATGACCATTTTTCACACTTACGATCATTGCAGCGTCTCCGTGGTAACATGATCAAAATCTGGATGCTTGGCAACTGGCTCATATTTAGGATGGTTGTCATGTCCTGGGATCATGTGATCCCCTTTTGTGACCTTTGGCGAGCAAAGTCAATGGGGAAGCCAGATTCACTTAACAACCGTGTTACTAACTTAACAACTGCAGTGATTCACTTAAAAACTGTGTCAGGAAAGATCGTAAAATGGGGCAAAAAAATCACTTAAGAACCGTCTCATTTAGCAACAAATGTTGGGCTCAATTGTGGTCATAAATCGAGGACTGTCTGTATTATATTGTATACCACCCAGAGCTCCTCTTTGAAAGAGATGGGAAGTTTAGAAATATGAATTATCAATAAATACATACATAAACCAGCAAAACTTAAATTTCCTCCACATCTTCTTTATGCATCATACCCAAAATATGTGTCCAGTTAGGGAGGGTGGCTTAGAGGCCATATTCAACCCCAGGGATTCCATTGTCAGAATTTGGCTGTAAAAATGGCAATTTAGATGGATAAATGTCTTTTTGGTCGAATTAAACTGTAAAATAAGTGCAGTCAGCCTCGGATGGCTTAGGGTACTCATCTTGTTTAAATACTTCCAAGCTACCTCTTTTGGTAAAAGAGCCAAAAATCTAATCTCTGGCTGTACTGTTGAAATAACTTCCACATTTCTTGCAACTTTTAGCAGACTGGATATAAAACTAGGCAAACTGGCCTGCTGCCCACCTCTTGATTCTTCTTTTATATTACTGTTTCCACCATTTGCAGATCAATAAACCTAAGCAGGCTTGGAAATAAGTTATTCTGAAGTTAGCACGTTGTCTTGGCAGTTTTTACATTACAGGTAGTCCTCAACATATGACTGCAGCTGAGCCCAATATTCATGTTGCTAAGTGAGACATTTGTTAATTGAGCTTTGCCCCATTTTACGTTAAGTGAATCATTGCAGTTGTTAAGTTAGAAACACAGTTGACTTTGCTTGTCAGAAACTTACCAAAGGGGATCACAAGACACCAGGACCCTGGAACTGTCATAAATATGAATCAGTTGCCGAGCATCTGAATTTTGATCACATGACCGTGGGGATGCGGCAGCTCTGGTTAGTGTGAAAAATGGTCATAGAGCCCTATTTTCAGTGCCACTGTAACTTGAAACCATCACTAAACCAACGGTTGTAAGTCAACTATCTGTATACAGTATCAGCAATTTTTATTTATATGAACAAAAGGAATACTATGACGGTCCTAGAATGCAATTGGAGATCAGTGGCTACTATTTTTATCCTAAGAAGTCACCCATTAAATTATTGTAAGATATTTTTTTTATGGTTGGTGGAATTATTTAGGCTTTTAAATAGTTGCAAATGGAAACTTCATATTACATGGTTGATTTTGTTTTCTCTAGGAAAGTCATGAGCAGATTGGTCTTCCGGTGCCAAAATATTTAACCAGCAAGAGTTCAGGTGGGGACCACATTGGGCCTGTCGCTCCCATGACAGGCACAGTAGAAAAGGTAATTCTGAGCATGACCCTTATGAAACATTTGTTAAAGGACATTTTTTTTTAAAAAAAATGAGTATGGAAGACATGAAAATGATTCAGAAAGGCTAGTATATCACCACTTATTTCAGGCTGTTTACCATTTCTTATCTCACTACCTGGATAGTTTTCAGATACGTGAAGTTCAATTCCCAGAATTTCCCCATCCAACATGGCTGCCGGTGAGCTTCTGGGAGTTGAAGACCATTCATTTGTAAGTGGCTCATATTGGGAAACACTGCATTCATTTGTAAGTGGCTCATATTGGGAAACACTGCATTCCTGACATTCATTTACCTGCTTTTGTTTTCTCCATTGTAATTTTGATTTTAAGTGAGTTTTTAATTAGATTTTTAAAGGGAGTTATGGTATTTTACTGAATTTTGGATTTCTTTTTGTTCATTATAATTATGTGAGCTGCTCAGAGTCACAAGCATGACGTGGGCGACTGTACAAATTGAATAAAAGAATGAAAAATATATTTAAGTTGACAATCGAACAGGCATTATCTTTAAATAGCTTGCTGGGGAAAAAAGCTCCAAAAATAAAAGCAACAGGTTTCCATTCTTCGGTTTTTGACCAGAGAATAATTTCGTTTTCTTTTGCTATCTGTGAGTCTAAAGAAAATGCAATCCTAATGAAGTTCGTTGGGGAGGAATGGAACACCCTAGTCCGTTCTCCTTTGCTTTTCCATTTTTAGGTGTTTGTGAAACCTGGAGATACAGTTCAAAAGGGAGACGCCCTTGTGGTGATGACAGCTATGAAAATGGAGGTATCTTTAGAAAATATGTTTTTGTACTGGCAAAGGAATCTCATGCTTATTGGGATCTGGTTTAATATCATTAGCATACCATCTAAAATGTTTAGATAAAATGTTTCAGAATGTTGCTCTGTTTTTCAGATAATTTGTTGATTGTAACTGTACTTACGTTGTCCAGAAGTGAATATTCCATTATGGCTCCATAAAAGATAGGATGGGATGGGATGGAATATGGAATGGATATGGAATGGAATAGAATATGGAATGGAATAAGAATAGAATGGAATGGAATGTGGAATATGGAATATAGAATATGGAATAGAATAGGATATGGAATGGAATGGAATAGAAGAGAAGAGAACACAACAGAACAGAACAGAATAGAATAGAATAGCAGAGTTGGAAGGTCTTCTACTCCAACCCCCTGCTTCTCTAGATTGCTTCTCCCCTTGATTAGTTTCCATCCATTGCTTCTTGTCCTGCCCTCGGGTGCTTTGGAGAAAAGCTTGACTCCCTCTTCTTTGTGGCAGTCCATGAGATATTGGAAACGTTGGATGATCTTTCAAAATATACTGTAGCTTTCTCCATAGGTTGGAGAAAAGTTCTACTACACTAGTGTTTCCCAACCTTAACCATTTTATGATGTGTGAACTTCAAGTCCCAGAATACCTGTCAACAATGCTGGTTGGTATATTCTGGGAGTTGAAGTCCACACCTCGTGAAATAGGCAATATTGGGAAACACTGCACTGTATCAAGTCAGGACAGGCTGCCCTTGACTTAGGACCACACTTGAGCCCCATTTTTTTGTCGCTAAGTGAAACATTCGTTAAGTGTCTTTTTCCTTTTTGCTCCATTTTAACGACCTTTCGTGCCACAGTTGTTAAGTGGATCACTGCACATGTTAAGTTAGTAACAGAGCTGTTAAGTGAATTTGGCTTCCCCATTGACTTTGCTTGTCAGAAGGATCACAAAAGGGGATCACATGACCCCGAGACACTGCAACCATCATAAATATGAACCAGCTGCCAAACGTCTGAATTTTGATCACGTGACCCACGGGGATGCTGCAGCAATCGTATGAAAAGCAGCCTTAAGTCCCTTTTTTTCAGTGCCATTGTAACTTTGAACGGTCACTGAACAAATGGTTATAAGCCGAGGAGTATCTGTATTTTTTCTTTTTGGTACTCTTCTGACATTTTCGGCTTACTGTCTTGTAAGCTAAAGACTACTTGTAGAAGAGAATTATGCCAGCTGTAGTCTAAGACATGACAAAATTGCATTGGAAATGAAATCATGTAGTCTCAAAACAAGCAGGGGATGAATTCCGTGTGAGTTTTCGACAGTCAGGACCTTCTTTGCCATTGGAGTGATAATATCCATCCATGTAGTCCTTGACATGACATCCGGCCCTCTCAATCCCTCGCAAATAGATGGGGAAGAAATGGAGGTAGTGACAGATTTTATCTTCCTGGGCTCCAAGATCACCGCAGATGGGGACTGCAGCCAAGAAATTAAAAGACGCTTGCTCCTGGGGAGGAAAACTATGGCAAATCTAGACAGCACACTAAAAAGCAGAGACATCACCCTGCCAACAAAAGTACGTATAGTCAAGGCCATGGTTTTCCTAGTTGCAATGTATGGCTGTGAAAGTTGGACCATAAGAAAGGCTGAGCACAAAAGAATTGAGGCCTTTGAACTATGGTGCTGGAGAAGACTCCTGCGAGTCCCCTGGACTGCAAGGCGTTCAAACTGGTCAGTCCTAGAGGAGATTCAACCCTGACTGCTCTTTAGAAGGCCAGATCCTGAAGTTAAAACTCAAGTACTTTGGCCACCTAATGAGAAGGAAGGACTCACTGGAGAAGAGCCTAATGCTGGGAAAGATGGAGGGCAATAGAAGAAGGAGACGACAGAGAACGACGTGGCTGGATGGAGTCACTGAAGCAGTAGGTGTGAACTTAAATGGACTCCAGAAGATGGTAGAGGACAGGAAGACCTGGAGGAACATTGTCCATGGGGTCGCAGTAGGTGTGAGCTTAAATGGACTCCAGGAGATGATAGAGGACAGGAAGGTCTGGAGGAAGGTTGTCCATGGGGTCGCAATGGGTTGGACGTGACTTCGCAACTAACAACAACCAAGTCCTTGGCTTATCATTGTACTTAAGCTTGGTAATCATGGTTGTAAGTCATGACGGTGATAAGATAGGTGACCATGTGACCAGACCCAATTTTACAACCTTTTTTTTTTTGCTGTGGTCATTAAGTGAATGCCACAGCTGTTAAGTAAACCCATTACTTGCTACGGACTGGTTTTTGTCAGAAACCAGTCGCAAATGCTGCAAAATCATGGTAAATCATGGTGACTTGACTGGTGTGCTGCAAACGGCCATAAATGACTGTGTGATAAATGATTTGTGTGATTGCATGACATGACTGCAGGGGAGGGCCAACCTCAATAATTTGAAACTGGGTTACAAATGGGGGTCCATTGTAGCTTTGAGTGGTCGCAAGTCAAGAAGTACTTACAGATGAGTGTTTCTCAACCTTGCCAACTTCAAGATGGGTAAGAATCTGAGAATTGGAGGACCTTAAAGTGGTTGAGGTGGAGGAACTCTGCTACGGATGATGTTCCAATATACATTGGGATGGCAGCCTCACAAAGCATGTCTTAATTTCAAATGAAAACTTCTCTTGAAAGCTTCACATTTTTATTAGAGAAAATAGCCGTCGGTTTAGCACAGGGATCTTCAAACTTGCCAGCTTTAAGACTTGTGGACTTCAGCTAACAGAATTCATCAGCCAGCGTGAGGTCCACGTCTTAAAGCTGGCAAATTTGGACACCCCTGGTTTAGGACGTGGATTCTGTTGGGTTCGATCCTGAAGTCATTTCAAATTTGGAATTAAGATGTATATAATGTGCCTTTGAAACTATGTGGACTAAACCAGTAGCATATCTTTTGTCTGCAGCATATCATCCGGGCTACCAACGCAGGGATAATAAAGAAAGTTCTTTATCAGGAAGGTTCCCAGGTCAAGAGAAACGCTCTGCTTGTTGAGTTAGCAGAGGAAGACTGATTCAGAATAATCCCCAGCGATTGGAGGTAAGGCATTTTGCCTCTCAGCTGTTCTTTTTCCCATTTCTCAAGAATCCATATTTATTTCTTATTTACTGACTAGATTGTTAATGTATCTTTTCTACAGGTAGTTCTGGACTTACAATCACAACTGAGCCCAAAATTTCCATTGCTAAGCGAAACAGTTGTTTTTATGACCTTTCTTGGCACTCTTGTTAAGTGAGCTACTGCAGTTGTTAATAACATGGTTGTAAAGTGAATCCCCGTTAACTTTGCTTGCCAGAAGGGTCACAAAAGGGAATCACATGACCCCGAGACACTGCAACCATCATAAATATGAACCAGTTGTCAAACATCCGAATTTTGATCACCTGAACCCATGGGGATGCTGCAACAGTCGTATGAAAAACAGTCTTAAGTCACTTTTTTCAGCGCCATTGTAACTTTGAACGGTCATTGAGCAAATGGTTATAAGTCGAGGACTATCTGTATTTTGTGTTTTTTGGTACTCTTCTGATGTTTTCTCAGTTTCAGGAAGAACTGCCTCCAAATTCTTTACTCATGAGAACGAAAGAGAAGAGTCCAAGGATTTACCTCAGCACAGCCATATTTGATGGTCCTCATTGTTTAAAACAATTGCTGGATTTCTTAGCAGCTGCTGATTCTCCATGAAAGCAAAAATGGTCTCCACTGAAAAATATTTTAAACCGCCACCTGAGAGGCTGCCTGTTACCGTAGAAACTGTGATGCCTGCCTGGGTACTTGAAAAGTTTGTGATTACATTTTCATTTAGCCAGCAGTGTAATCTGATAGTCCTGGACAAGCTGAATTCTCACATCTCCATTGGTATAATAATAGCTTGACCCAGGGAGGTCAGCGTGGATGAAAAAATTCTGGATTGAGTGCACTAAAGAACAGAAGACAAGAGAAGTAATATACCTTTCCAGCCTCCGTACTCAATCGAGGGATCAATGGTAGCCAGAAAAATAATAGAAAAAAACACTGTACGAACACTTTTTGTCCCTCGTCTTCCTTAGCATGTGTTGTCTCTTTGGAAAACAGCTGCAGTGACTACAGCTTCTGGTCTGATTCAATTGTTGCATTGTTTTAAAATATTTTGAGAGCTGTGGTTGGGAATGACAAAATTTTAATTTGTCATTCTCAACAGGCACGGTTTGTTCTGATCTCCTTTTGTCCCACGTTTGGTTGTCTGATTATGGAATTTCTAATACCAGATGTCCACATTTTATACAGTACATTTAAAAAGGCTAACTAATATGTGGTAATAATACAGCTCTCCCAAGTATTTTTCCTATAGTTTCATTGTCTTATTTTAATTTGTAGAATTCTTGAGTGGAAATAAGCATTTGCATATGAGTTCCTGCAACTTAGATTGGATGTATATTTGAATGTGGAAGCCATTTTTCCAATAATTTCAGCAGTTTGAACAAACAGATGAACTTTGGTTTGAGAACAATTCTGTGGGAAAAGAGGACTGTTGAAGTTAGAGGTACATTGACCTGGGCCTGATCTGTTTTTTCCTCTCCCCAACTCAGATCAGAGAAATGGCCTAAACAAACTATCACTTTCTGAGCTGCTTTTCTAACAACCCTAAAGCACTAACTGCATTTACAAGCTCAGTTCTATGATTTAGATTAATTAATAGAACTTCCCAACCAGCTTGTGCTGCTATATGAAACTAACTAGACCCTAATCAGTTTCACACAAAAGGCTTATTTTTGTCTCCTAAGTGCAACCAATGCTTGCCATTCCTTTTGATGTATGTTCCTCATTGACTACTTACTCTCTTACAATCCCTTCCTCTCCAATGAATGTAAATACAAATATCAATTCTCTTCTGGTTAATGATCACATCTTTCATGATCACATTATCATGAGCATTTCAAAGGACAAGAGCTTAGAGAAAGAGGACTATAGTATTTGCCCTTTTACCCAGTTATCTTGTGAGTTGAGTTAGAGTAGAGTATAGAATAGAGTAGAGTAGAATAGAAACTTTATTGTTACTTGAAATGTACTCTATCAGCATACATTAAAATGAAATTTTGTTGCATTCAGCTCTCAAAAAAATACCCCCCCACACACACATATATGACACAGAGAAACATCACAGTCTAATTTGGATGTATACATATACATGGCGGGAAAAAAAAGAATCCTGAAAATTTTCAAGATGGATAGTATAAGGAACAAAGCTATTGCAGAACCTAGTAGTTCTGCTATAAATACTTCGAAACCTCCTCCCAGAAGAGAGCAACAGAAACAGACCATAAAGTGAGTATGTGGGGTCTCTAACAATACTTCGAGCTCTAAGCACATAGTCCTTATAAGCAGTATCCTCTCTGTATGGACCTTCTGTCTGAGGCACTGCTACCACCAAACCAGACAGTGATGCAGTTTGTTAAAAGGCTGTCAGTCGTACCTCTGTAAAAATTTCCTGGAAACCTTCCATAACATTTGAGTTCCCCTGAGGTTGTATCTTTTTGATGCTGTAAAGCAGTGGTTCTCAACCTTTCTAATGCCGCGACCCCATAATACAGTTCCCCATGTTGTGGTGATCCCCAACCACTTGTACATCACCGGGTGCCAGGGGCATGGCCAAAGAAAAGGGGGGAAAAATGGCGGACAGCCTTGTTTGGCGACCTCCGTGAAATGGTCGTTCGACCCCAAATGGGGTCCCGACCCACAGGTTGAGAACCACTGCTGTAAAGCAAAGCAAAGCTGAAGTAAAACCTTAAGCACTGTGATGTTTATGTGATTTTTCACTTAGCAGCTGCTTCATTCAATGACCAGGTCATCAAAACCAATTATTGCTAAATGAGGACCAGCTGTATATGCATCATACCGAACACAGACTTTGCTCAACAAGGAATTATCCACTGAGGGAAGAGTATGAAATAGATGGGTAAAAAATAATGAGCTGTCTGTATACTTGACTGCTGACTTCAAAATCCACAGACTAAAAGACAATATGTTAATAAAAGTGCTCATCTTATTTTATTCCCAAACTCCTGGCTATTTGCACAACTTGTCCTATGAATTTTAATGACATTTAAATTTAGGTAGCCTAGTTTCTACAGGACATTTGTTTGTCCCTGGATGTTTTCCAGGAAGTATTGACCATGTTTTTGGAGACAAGTGCATCATCCTTAACTATTCGCAATCCAATCAGATCTAATACTGATTTAAAGCACTTATACTCTACCTATTAATCTCAAAGCGGGAAGAACCAATCACAGTATAATAAAAACCAAGATTGTTCCTGCCCTGAAGCATATAAGTCAGTTAAAACAACTTCCCAAATGATAAAACAGGAGACTATATCTGCATACATAATATAGGCTCCTGCTCCTCTCTGAATTACTTGAATATTTACGGACAAGAAATAAATGATGGAAACGTATCAAGGAGTGGAACAATTAATCAGTGGAACAACTTGCCTCCACAAGTTGAGGGTGCTCCATTGCTGGATGTTTATAAGAAGAGATTGGAAAGCCACTTGTCCAGAACGGTTTAGGGCAGGGGTAGGCAACCTTGGCTCTTTTTTGACTTGTGGACTTCAACTCCCAGAATTCCTGAGCCAGCATGGCTCAGCTTGGAAACCTCTCCCTTTCCCCTCAGCCTAGCTGGCTCAGGAATTCTGGGAGTTGAAGTCCACGAATCATAAAAGAGCCAAGGTTGCCTACCCCTGGTTTAGGGTCTCCTGCTTGAGCAGGGGGTTGGACTAGGTTGAACTAGAAGACCTCAAAGGTCCCTTCAGCTCTGTTGTTCTGTTATTTTTCTTGGGAGAAGCGTCCCAGTTCCCAGCAAGACATCCACCCATTATTTTTATTTTAATCCTTTCACCTAAGGATATCATTGATAAATATTCAGAGAGACTGTCTTGGAAATAAAAATGATGGCAATTTATTTTGTTATGTGTGGGTGTGTATAAATACACAGATACACAGGCATACATACCCTTTCTACAAGCAACCAAGAAGCTAAATAGAGTCAGGGTTCTTTTATTTATTTTTTTAAAAAGAAAATCAAACTGAGTTTGATCCCTGGTGACTTCATGGACAGTTACAATTTTTGAAAACAATATGGAAATAATTTGTCTTTTTAAGGATTTCCCCCAACTTTCCAATCTAGCACTTTGGGTAGAGGTAGTCCTCGACTTATGACCACTATGGACCCCACAATTTCTATTCCTCAGTGTACATTTATTGAGGGAGTTTTGCTCCATTTCTTGCCACTGTTGTTAAGTGAACGACTGCAGTTGTTAAGTTAGTGACACGGTTGTTAAGAGAATTTGGCTTCCCCATTGACTTTGTCAGAAGGTTGCAAAAGGGATCATGTGACACCGGGGTGCTGCAACCGTCATAAATATGAACCAGTTGTCAAACTTTGAATTTTGATCACGTGACCATGGAGATGCTGCAATGGTCATAAGTGAGAAAGATGGTCATAAGTCACCTGTCATGGTTCTGACTGATGAAACTCTTCAAAGAACTTCAAGGCATTGTTTATCTTAAAGAATCTTTATTTGAGTGGCATGGCATCTGCACGTATATAGTCAAAACCAAAATCTGGATTCCCCTCCCCTGAACACACAGTATCAAAGCATAATTCCCTCCTCTAATTTACGGTCATAAATCACATTCTCCAATTAATTTGAAATGCAGACTTTCCCTCCAGATCTCCAACCCGCCACTTCTTATCATCTCTTATTTCAAACAAGCTTGAATCACACACTACTACCATCTTGTTATGTCTAACTAATTCCCATACACATTCTTCCTCCTCCTCCCCCCCCCCACAGTATCATCTAATTCTAACTCTAAGAGTAATACACAAGTTAAGGAAAATGGCTGCATCTCCATATGTTGTCAAAGCAAGAACATTCGATGTTAGCAGCGTTGACATCACCTTTTTTTCAGTGCCATTGTAACTTCAGTCACTAAATGGACTGTTGAAAGTTGAGGACTGCCCTGTATTTCCTGTTGGATTTCCCCTCACAATTTAACCTGGTTTATCGTTTTTCCGTTTTAGCTGAAGTCATTGGATACTCAGAGACTCTTCTGAAGAAACTAGGGATTGTAAGAAATAAACAAAAACAGCTCTCGCAACATTCGTCAGGAAGTGACGAGAATAATTACGCAGCCATGCCCAGAGGCAACCAAGATGATTACAACTCAGGAACACAAATGTGATGAAATTGAGGATGCGTGTCCTCACCAAATGACTTGTGGCTTTCTAAAAACCTCTGCTCCCGGTGACTGACCCGATGACATGGTTCCGAAAGAAAGCAGATTTTCAAAGAACTTTGAGGCTTTTTCCTCTAAAAGAATCTTTTATTATTCTGCATAGCTTCGGCACTAACAAAGTTAAGCCAGAAACTGAATCCTCCCTCTCCCAAACATCTGTAACAAAGCATAACTCACTCCTTCATTTTACAGTCATCAATCACATTCTCCAATTAATGTGAAGCGTGAGGTGCCCCTCCCGTTGCAGCTGAGCTGACCTTGGCCACACTGTGCCCAGACATTGTTATGGTTAACTTGCATACTTTCCCATCCCTTAACTACTACTATCTGCCTTAACTCTAGAAATGCTATACGGCTAAATCAAACAGGTTTGCTTCTTCATATATGGCAAGCAAGAACATCCGATGTTAGCAGTCTTGACACCCAGATTGGATCCTGCAATAAGAATACTAAATATGAAGTATAAAATCTAAAATACAGGTAGTCCTCGACTTATGGCCCCAATTGAGCCCAGAATTTGCGTTGCTAAGTGAGAAATTTGTTAAGTGAGTTTTGTCCCATTTTCTTGCCACAGTTGTTAAGTAAATCATTGCAGTTGTTAAGTTAGTAACCCGGTTGCTAAGCAAATCTGGCTTCCCCATTGACTTTGCTTGTCAGAAGGTCACGAAAGGGGATCACGTGACCCCGGGATGCTGCAACCGTCATAAATATGAACCCAGTTGTCAAACATCTGAATTTTGATCACTTGACCTTGGGGATGCTGCAATGGTCATAAGTGAGAAAGATGGTCATAAGTCACCTTTTTTTCAGTGCCATTGTAACTTCAAATGGTCACTAAGCGATTTGCTGTAAGTTGAGGACTACCTGTATTATAAATGTATTCCTAGATTACAGATATAAATTTTTGCTTCATTTGTCACAGCCAAGAAATCATAGGCTGTGTTTTAGCACTCTGACACTAAATGTTGGATAGTTTGTTTTTCAGTCATAATTTGGTGATATTTCATCCCACTTATAGAGGCTTTTCCAAATGCAAACAAATGTATCTAT